TCACCTTTTTTTTTCGTTTAGTTGTTGATCTAGTAACAGTACCGGCTCCTATCATAGCTAGTACTGCTAAGTTAGAAGCAGCACCTTCGCCAAGTCTATCTACAACTTCGTTGTCCAACGAATCAACAACACCCACTGCTGCTAATAATTTGACAAAAGGTTTCAATTTATTAAGTCAAAAACGTTCAAAAATTGAAGAAGTTATGCAAAAAGGTTATGATACATTAAAAACACATGCATCGACACAATCATCACTATTTAGTTCAAGTGTTAGTGATTCAGATGATCTATCACAATGGGATCATTTATCCGATGATATGGATGCTGATTTAGAATCAAATTTTGGTGATGGAAATAGTGATTTACAACAAAAAGCAGCTAGAATTGATCTTGATGATGATCCAAATTGTTTAAAACACATTGGTACAAATACTGGATTCGAATTGGTAAGAATTTTAATAATTTTTAAAGTTAAAACTATTGATGCGAAAGTGTTTATCTAATTTGAGAATTGAATTTTTGATATAATGTATCTAATATATTTCTTTTTAATGAGATTCTCTGATCATTTGAAGATTAGTACAAGAAAAATCGTCAAAAAATCTTATGTTTACTATTCCAGGTTAATGGAACTTTTCTTAAATTAAATCGTGTCGACATATGCATTACCGAAGACGTCTTATTAAAACAATTTTATATTGCCGGTAATATCAATGATATACAAATTAATGAATTTCAAAGACTCAAATTTGAAAATATTAAACCAAAATTATTCGATATTGATAGTATGTATTATACTTTAAAAAAATATATTTTTATTTTTCTCAATTTTCTCATTCTAGATAATACTTTAAATTCATCGACTAATGTTAAAATTCCAGTATATGCTCGTATTGATTTACCAAAAGGATCTGAACCACCACATGTTCAATTAGATATTAAAGATCGTGAAATACAATTAACTAAACGTTCCATTGATATTATATTGGATACACTTGAAGAAATAAAACCAATAAGTGATAAAATTGAACAACGGGAACATTCAAATATGGTAGCTATTGATGTGCAAATAAAAAATTTGAATATTTTACTTGAAGTATGTGTGTGTGTATATAAGAAAAGTAGATTTGGATCTTTTTTTATACTATTTTCTTTTAATTTCAGTTAATTAGTCCTACCATTGGATCAATTGTTAGTCCAAAACCACCACTGAATATTAACGTCGAACAAATGCATGCTAAAAGACTTAAAAATGGGCAGATAGTTATGGAGAGAAAAACAGATAATGATATACAATTAGATGGTATGTAGAATAGTTTATATCATAAATTTAATCAAATGTTGATTTTTTTAACAGTTTGGATCTTGTTGTACAATGAAGATTATTGTGTATAACGTTTTTACTCTCTGTTCTAGTTCAAGCAAAACAACAAACTATCATTGCTGATCATCAATTACAGGAAAAATTAAAACAATACAAATTAGTTGATCTTGAAAATAGTCGTTTAGAAACAGAATTAGATGCTCATAAACAAGAAATAATTTCATTAAGACAAGAGCGTGATGCTCTACTCTCAACTATATCAAAATTAGATGTTGAATTAACAAGATCAGAGTATATTCGTCTTCAACAACAAAAATAAGGCAAAAAGCAATACATGATCTGTGATAAATTAGTCGATACGATTTTTATATTCCACTTTTGTGTCTATTTTCTCATATTTACATCATATTTCATGATCTCTTTTTAAAATGGTGTTTGATAATTTATACTACTATTTTATTTATTAAAAAGTTATATTATTCTGAAATATTTTCTTTGAGTATATTTTGTCAAATTTTTTTTGTCTAACTTTAAACACGCTAGGAAACTTATTCTTATCTCTTTTATTATTCTAATTCATTTAGGGTTTTATACAAGAGAAATGATAAGAACGCTAGGAAAACAGATGGACGAGGCAACCTTTCTAGATGATGAAAATCCTAGTCTTTCTAGGGTTATTTTTTGATGCTGATCATGCATTCAATATTTACTTGGTTCCATGAAAATGTTTACTATCTGTTTCTTGAAAACTGGCCTCTAAAGATCCATCCCATAGTTTCAGCTTAACTGACTCGGATACTGCCAGTTTGTAGCGCAACTCTCGAGTTATATATATGATAAAAAATTTTAGAAAACGTTGCAAAAGTTAATTTTCAACGTTATTATGAATGAGTGCGAATAGACAAATGCCAGTACTTTTCAGGAAATAGTAGAATAAAATGTTACTTATATTTCTAGATCACATAAATGGACATCGAATCCGATATTGATAACATTGAAGAAGAAGAGAAAGAAACGGTATTAACTCTTCCATCCATTGTCGGTAGTCACAAGAAAAAATTGAAAAAATCCGAAATAAAAGCCAATAAATTAGTTGAAATTCATCCTGGTATCATACGTTTAAACGGTTTACCACATGGTTTCTTTGAACAAGAATTATTCTCCTATTTTTCACAATTTGGGAAAGTAACACGTTTGAAATTATTTCGTAGTAAAAAAACAGGTATATATAACAAAAATATTTTGAAAGATGGCACTATTTTATACTTTTAACAATTTATCTTTTTTACTATACACATTTAGGTAATAGTCGTGGTTATTGTTACATAGAGTTTGAAGATGAAGATGTGGCTAAAATAGCCTGTGATACAATGAATGGTTATCTAATGTTTCGTACACTCATTAAATGTCGTATTATTAATCGTGAAAAAATCGATGTTGAAAAATTATTTAAAAATTGGAAAACAATACATAAACCCATGTTACCATCACAAAAACGAACGAAATATAATCGAACAAAATCAATGGAACAATTGACAAAAAGCTTGGGTAGACGTGAGAAAAAATTACAAAAACAACAAGAATTACTTGATCAAATGGGTATCAAATATCAATTACAAGATTTTATACCATTGAAAAGTGATACAAAAAGTGAAGTAGTGGAAAAGAAAGAGGTGAAAAAAGTCAAATAAAAATTAAAAATTGAAATTTGTTTATTGTTGTTTTTTGTCATACTTTCTTGAATAAATACATAATCATAAGAGTTATCATATTTTAAATATTAAATTGTGTATGAATGTCGCGAATTGTTGATGTTACATTCCAACTTTGAAATTCTCTTCATTGACAAAGAAGAGATTATTCTTTGATTTGACCGTATTGTTGTCTTGAGAATAACTTTTAATTTGTATAGAAAGGATCCGTTTTTGAAAATCAAATTTAGTCATTTGTATTAAGTACATTCATAGCTCAGTAAAAATGATTGTGTTTCTGACACAATGCCTTCGAATTATTTCAAAACTTTTTGCTGATTTTCATTTTTTGGGTGGAAAACTCAGCAATTTTTCAACATGAAAATTCAAAACAAAATCAAAGTAGTCGAATAGACTAAGTACACTATTCGATTTAATTTGCGACGCTAATTCCGAATATAATATTTTTATTGCATAGAAATCGAGTTTGGATGAATAAAACTGAGAATTACGGGCAGAAGTTCGATTTTTGATTCGATTTTGATTCTTCTCCTGATCTAGAAAATATGAACTATCTCAGTGACAAAGCACAATGAAAATAAAAGCGCCATACACTCTTAAAGCTCGTTCAATGACTGTTCTAATGAAGTGCAAATATTGGCTTCATCTCTTCAAAGAAAAAACTAGATAGGTTTGCAGAATTGTTTGTGAACTTTTTATAGGAAGAGTCCAAGACTGATTGTTGTTTTCTTTTTCTATATGCGTATAATATACCATTCGATTTTGCTGTATCCAAGAATCAAGAATATTCTCTTATTTTTACAAAAAAACCTGGTGAAAATGAGAAAAATCAATTTTAAGACCAAAACGATCAGTAACGTATACGAAGCTTTTTCAATGTCTGAAATTTTTTGGGCAGAGGCATACACTTTTTAAAGATCGACTTAGCATTAATATAAAGCCCTGGCTCACGCGCATTTTCTGGCATAAGCCCCAAGTTGGTTCTTTTTTCCTTTAATTTTTTACAGAAGCTTTTCTAATGCCTACTAAATCCAAGATTTGCATGTTTTTTTCGGAAATTTTTTCTTTTCTAGCATTAGTTAGGTTGAGAATTTTTATTTTACACATTTACTAAAGCTAATTCATAGATAAACAAAATCCAATCAGAAGTAAAGCTTACTTCTTAATGGCTAACGAGAAAAAAGTTTATACTAAGACGGTGTCAAAATTGACTAAAACTTAATATTTTCACTTTCTCTCTCTTAGAACTAAACAAAAATAAAAAGACTAAAACATGCGCCATAAAATTCTCTACAAAATCATATATTCAGTTTGTCAGTTTCTTGTAGTTTTCAAATCCGGCAGGGTCCTTTATATCGGATAAAATGTTTCCAATGCACATATTGAAGATTTTTGTAATTAATTATTTTATTTAGAGACTCCTTCGTGCTGATGCGTTTTTCCCTTCTTTAAATATAAGTTTGTTGTTAAGATCAAAGCAAGCGATCAAAAGTAAAGTTTTTGCTCCCGAAAGATATTATATTCCAAAAGTGAAAAATAAATTCTCTTTAAAAACAGAAGTAAAAAAAGCTTATCAGCGCAGATCTTGGATCTAAAGTGTAACTCTCCATTCAAACGTGATAGACTAAGGTTACTCCTAAGGTATTAGAAGAAAGTTAAGCAGGGGCCTGTTTCTTAAAAAAACTTACTTAAGTAGAAAATCTTACTTAAGTCAAACTTAAGTCCAAAAAAGTCTTTGTCTTTTTTGACTTAAGTAAGATTTTCTACTTAAGTTTTTTTAAGAAACAGGGGCCAGAAACTATATTCCCTCGCTCAGTTCATTGAAACACAATTATTTAAAAACGTTGATTTGCAGAACAATAAATCATGTCATAGTTCAAAGTATCCTCTATCAGTTCCACTATTTTCCTTGTCTTCAAAACCACGTTTTCAGCATTTTTCTAGAAACCCTAGCACAGAAAAACGTCTTTTTTTTACTTACGAGGGAACCGCCCGAGGTGATACCCTCCGTTTCTAATGAGTTAAACCCCAATCGATAGAGTATATCTAGCTAGTAAAAACCCTAAAAGAATTCGGGTTCATGGCTTTTGAAGACCCGCTTTTCCGGAAAACCAGTTTTTCAGAAACTCTAAAAAATAACCAAAACTTTTCTTAACGAGGCATGATTGTAGCCCGCACATTTCTGATTAAAATGAGACATTTCCCAGCTCTACACGACCTTTCTTTGCAAAGTTAGAGAATTTACAAGAAAGTCCTTAATCAATTTCTTCTTATTTCTGTTGTTTTGAGCTGACAATGAAAAACTCTTGTTGTAAATTCTCTAACTTTGCAAAGAAAGGTCGTGTAGAGCTGGGAAATGTCTCATTTTAATCAGAAATGTACGGGCTACAATCATGCCTCGTTAAGAAAAGTTTTGGTTATTTTTTAGAGTTTCTGAAAAACTGGTTTGCCAGAAAAGCGGGTCTTCAAAAGCCATGAACCCGAATCCTTTTAGGGTTTTTATTGGCTAGATATACTCTAAAGAACGGAGGGTATCACCTCGGGCGATTCCCCAGAAATTCTGAAGAAAATGCTCGCATAGAGAGCAATATTCGCGGTATATGTGGTGGCACATGGATTCAGTATGACTAAAAAGTCACAAGGATGTTTGTCTGAACTTTTAGCCATCGAACTTTTTTGTTTACGAATGTAGTATATTGCATTTTTGTCGATCAGCCATTTCACAGTTTCAAGATTTCCACGTCAGAAAAATGCTGGAGAACTTGGGAATATCTTTAATTAAAGCCAACACTCATGTCTATGACAAGCCAGAACGCGAATTTTCATTCTGAATGTAGTTTTACAAATACAGCAGGGTCTCTGGATATTTTTACCTTCGAAATTTTTCACTCTTTTCATCTTTTCTCGCCTCCTGCAAAATAACGAAAATCAGATAGTCTTGCCCTGGATATGAGTGCTTCTGATCTTTAGATCAAACGAGTTTTTCCTAACGGAGAAAGCAACCACGAATCGATTCATTTTGTTCTGTAATTGGGCAACATCCCATGAACGCCGATATATAGGACCTCTAACATGAAAAGATCTTAATTTTTCAATTTCTATCTGTTTATGCATATTTTCTGCGAGACTAGATCTATCTGGATCTTGCTTTCTCTCCTCATTTTATTCGATATAATAAAAATATTTACAAAGAATTAACGAAGATTGAAGGGTCAAAACGCGAACTACTTTTAAGATGATACTTATTTATATCAATATTTTTCATTATCATAGTGAAAAATAATCTAAAATTCATATTTCTATCTTCAACAAATACGTCTATTTTATTATTTTAAAATAAAAACCAAAAAACACAAATAGTCAAAAGTATAGAAATAAAAGAAATAGCAAATGTGTATGAGATGCAAATCAAAACAGAAAATGAACAAAAAAACATGAGCCTATGAAATAAGAGCACAGTTTCAATATATACAGTGGAAGAAGTGAGCGAACAGTTTAACATTATCGTTCGGAAATTTAAAACACGCGCATACAAAACATACGTAATTAAACACACTCATAGAGTAGAAAGAAAAAGATTAAACGAGCACAATGAAAACAATTAAAATCTATTTTCAGTATATGAAAAATCAATCAAAAAAACAAATAACAAAACAAAATGTCTCATAATTGATTATCCGTATTTCGAAGTGTATAATATTTATTGCTAATACGAGTGGTACTCGTTATACTATTGATCTCAAAACTAGATGATTTTGTTTTTTTTAATTGTTTTGTTTTAAATCGATAATGTTGTAATTGATCAGTGAAACCGATTTCTAACATTGGACGATATGTTTGTGGTAAACAATGATCCTACAAAAAAATAATGAAAAAGAAATATATTTATCTAGTCAAATTTTCACTAATCAGACAAACTATTTGATATTTTTACGTACTTTTGCATATTCAAAAAATGCTTTATAACCGCCTTCTAACAGATAAATTTCTGGATAATATAACTCTGGATAAGATGAAACATGTCGATTACGATCGATTTCTCGAAAAAATCGTAATCTAAAAGAAGAAGAATAAAAAAATATATATTTTTTATCTTACATAAAAATTGATAATTATACATACAATGATGGTGCTCGTTCCGACGAAAATTCACAATGAAATATGATAATAAAACGTTTTGTTTCATTTTCTAATTGTAATGGTTCATTGAAATATTCACGTTGTATTTGCTCACGTGTATAAAAATTTCTAGATGAAAAAATGTGACCACCATCGTATTCGTACGGATAGCGACAATCAATTATATGAAACTGTTCGATATCAGATGAATAACGATTTTGTAAAACATCAACCAGCTAAAATATTAAATAAAATTTCGATCATTATAAATTATAGAAATTTCTCTTTTTAATTTCTTAGATATATTTGAAATTGATGTCTAATAAGAATTTTGGTAGAGAAGAAAAAATTTTCATTATATCTTACCGTTTTAGGTGCAATACAAGCAAGATCATTATGTTTATGACTATGACAACGTGGTAATAAGTATGAACGTGTTCGATCACCAACAAGATCTCGATTAGTTCCTAAAAATTGGGATATACGTGACATTTATCTACGAGAAATAGATGAATAAACTTACCAAGTTCAACAGATACTTTTAAACGTGCTTCATCAAACTGTTCGAATGGCTCCGATATACTCCGACACAACTGAAAAAAGAATGAAACTTAAAAAATTCTTTGTTTTTAATCAAGTCTAATTCTACATACTTTTGGCCGAATCAATGTTATTGATTTCTTGAAAATATTTTCTTTATTTTCATTTTGTTCTTGATAAACAACTTTTCTTCGTTTTCCATTTTTCTTCACTTCATCAATTTCAGCACTAGAACGTTTCTAAACGAGAAAAGAAGAGCTTAGATAACTCCGACAATTGCTCACTTTTTTTACTTTTGGATTTTTAATATAATTTTAACTTTTTAGTCTATTGTCTACTTACATTATTCGATGATTTATTAAAAGTACTGTTTTTAATGTTTAACATTGGTGTTCGATTTTTAGTCGTCATTGTAGCAGGTAATTGTTCATTATCAGACGATATGGATAGTAAAAATGGTAATGGACGAGTTCTTAATTGTCGAATTGAATTTATATTCGACGTGTTTAATATTCTGATTTCATATTCATCTCCACTACTTATTCCTCCGCTACTCATACCAGTACTTGTCATAGTAATAAATGTTTCATCTTTTAACGGGGTTACTGTTATTAATTTTCTATCAAATAAACGAACTAAATGATCAGAGTTCGAATCCTAGAAAAGACAAAATAGTACGTACTATTTTACATTTTCTAGCAAAGCTTATGAAGAAAAAATTCTCTGCCATAGTTTTTAATAGTTTTAACATTGTACTTTAAGTGCTTACCGATGCCGATTGCGATCTTGTTTGCATTGGATGTGTAGTTCCACTTCTTACTTGTAATTGTTTTTGATTATTAGTATTATCATCCTGAGTTGTTGATGTTATGGTAGTTGTCGTCCTTTAACATGAGATGAATTTTCTTTTTCTCTATGGTTCTTAATTGATTAACAAAATACTTACATCTCATGATCTAATTTTTTTATCTTTTGTCTATTCGACATTGCCAAAGAATCAGCTCGTTGTTTCATACTTCGTTGACTATGTCGATTTCGACTACGTTGGTGTTGCTTTTGTTGTGATAGTGGTTGTGGACGAGTCCGTGTTTCAAATCCGAACTGTTCTAATTTAGCCTGTTGCATTAATAAAGAAGAATTTGCTGTGGAGGTTGTTGATCTTCTACTAACACATTCAAACATATTTAACCTTAAATGAAACAACAAACGTTGAAAAACATACTAATATAAGTCTTTCATAGTCGACAGTAATCTCAAAATCCAAAAGAGAATATATAGTGAACTTAAGTTGTGTGTACGCTTTGTCAAATGTGGAAAGAACGAATTAATAATTCTTTTTCATCGAAACAAAGTACAACTGGAAATAGAATTAAATCTTTATCAGTCGGTTGCATCATGTGACATATCTGCATCACTTTCACTTCAAATCAATATTTCGACCGACTCTTTATTCTCAACGGATAGTGTCGGCATTTAAGCATTCATTCGATCAATTTGATCAGATTTACTTTAAAATTTGCTATATCATTGGTATTGTCACCTCGATAGCCTTGTCTTTATCTCTTTTATTCTTCAAACAATGTAGATAAACAGTTGTGTTAACTGATATGACAATGCATTTTCTAATGCAGCCTTGTTATTGCGACAGTGAGACTTGTATTAAAATACTTTTAATACAAAAAATTTTGCTATTGTATCAGTTTAAAAAGAATAAAAAAAAAATCAAATTTCAAAATTTATGTATAATACAGAAACTTATTCTTTTCCTCTATCATCAGCAGTCATGAAACTGTAAAAACAAATAATCTATTAGGTTCAATTTACATAAGACGAAAATGCGTGTGAATGTGTGTACATAACTGTTATTTGTTAAACAAACAACTAAATACACACATAACAGTGTAGAATAGGCTTATGAGATTATACATAGTACCTATATAGAAAAAATAATTGCTTGGTATTAAAGGGGACGATACGATATACATAGACTATGTATATACGTGTCAAACACGTTAAGAGAGAGAGAGAGATAAAGTCATCACCGTCAATATATATATATATACATATATCAATGTTCGATGTCAAGAAGTTGACAAGACACTTGAAATATGGATTTTAGTTCGTTAGAAAAAAAAATAATAAAAAATGGCACCCATCGCGTGGTCGTTAAACACTTGAACAGAAAAAATTTCAAATTTTTAAAAGTAAAGATGAAATAGAGTGCGCGCATAGAACCACGATAAACATGTCAAGTGTTCCACGCAATTAATGTCCAACTGAGAATGGCGCATAAAGCGTAAATAGAAACGTAATTAAACATTCTCTTGAGCTATTTTTTGAATAAAATTTGTCAAATTAACCATTATCAGAATGAGAAACGTTGAAGTTATAAAAATATTTTTTCAATCCTAGACTTCGTCTAATGTTAAACAATTTTTTTCAAAAGAATGGAAATTTCCAAATAAAAAAAAAGTGGATGCGACTGCCTATTCCCCAAAACGTAAAGTTTCTATTATTTTATTCAACACATGTGCAACTAAACTTAGAAATACCATATGTTCTTCAAATTTTTAACTACATCTTTTCCACTAACATTCCACCTCCGGGTAAGGCGGTCTATTTTCTTTTGGGAATGAAAACGTTTTTTCGATTGTAACGATGAATAACATCAAGCCGTGAAAACAAGTTAAAATAATTATTACGTTTCACTTTTTATCACTCTGTATCTTTTCCGATGAAAAGAGCACATTATTTTCTGTTGTTTCTTCCTCTCTCACTCTCGAAATGTGATCATCATTTCGACTGATTACACAGATTGAAAAGTTAATATCACAACAGGTATCTCCACATTATCTATAGTTTCATATTAATACATTTTTAAATTTTACAAACTTACTGTTCATCTGTATCACCAACAGAAATTGAGTGTGTTGAAACTAGAAAAAGGAACAATCGATAGATATTTTATCGTAAGATTAAAATATAGCTATACCTAAACTATTATTATTTTGCATTCGACAATCTTTTGGTGGACTATCACCTTCTTCTTCACTGGATGAAAACAATTTACGTCGAGGAGTTCGCCTAAAATAAAAAAACAATCACTATATAACATTGAAATAATAGTAGTAATATCTTCTAAATATGACTAACAAAAGTACACTAGTGTATTTCTGAAATATATTTCAAAGAACAGCCGAACATTTTCAAATTATTCTAAATTTATACGATAGTTGACCATGGTTTTCCAATAAACTATTGAAAAAACGTGGAAGGGAGAAGTAGAGGTCTACATTATGACAGAAATCATTATTTATTAACCTTTTAATCGTTCATCAAAACGTTGAAACATCTAAATCGAGGATGACGAAAAGTGATGTAGAAGAATTTCATACACTATTTTTTGGACTGTCAACAAGAGTCAATTATGAGTGATTGGTTTTTAATAGTGTATTACTCAATTTTATTTTTAAAATATTCATACATTCGTTTTCTTTATCATGTTCAATGATGCACATACATATTCATTTAATCAAGTTTAAGATTATCCTAACGGTTTTCTTTCTATATAGTTAAAATTGATGGGTTTCTCTCACACAACAGTTCAATTCATTCAGTCATATTTATGTTTATTCAAGTGATAAAACGATGTGAAGTTCGTTTGACGAGAGAAGAAAAAGAAGAAAAAAAGAAAAAAGAACAAGATATGTATATAACGGTTCTGTTTTTCTTTTTTGAAAATAAGAAAAGAACACACAATTGAAAAATAGAATAACGGACAAAGATAGTTATCATTTAAACACCACAGGATGTGAAAATAATTTTAGTCTCATAAAATTTGAATCGGAAATGATCGAAAGAAAACAGGTGTTCAAGATTTCTTATTCTAATAATTTATTGAACTGTTTTGATTCACTCATTTTATCCACAGTCAAATTTCGATATACGATGCATACTTTTTGTTAAATCGAATTTTTCATTCATTAGAAATGAGTTTTTTAAATAATATCTGCTAGGATAAAAGTGCCATACCTTCTAACTTCGTTAATACATAGAATGTAAAACAGTGTCTAAAAACACACTAGTGTAGAGCTCGAAGAGTTGACATTTTCGATATAAAAGGCAAATACTTTTCAAAAGACAAGATACTATTCATTCCAGTTAAACCATATCATTAAAGGACAGTAAACTGATGGTCATAATCTATGAACAAGATACTACAACATGATTCCCAGTATCAGATTATTAACATACCTCCACATGAAACGAGTGTTAAAACTTAAATCAATATTCGATAAAACTGTCGATGTATTTAATAAATGTTCATGATTTAAAGTCATACCGATCGACCAACTTTTCGTCTCACTAATAACAATTAAAAGAATTTATAGTTCGACGATAAATAAAAATATTTTTAATTTAAAATAGATCATGTTTCCCACTACTAAGGGTGTGTGACTGTGCCGATGTAGAAATATTTGTTCAATTTCAGAGAGATAGAAAGAGAGAGAGAGAGAGAGAGAGAGAGAGAAGAAAAAAAAGAACTTTTGTGAAGCTTAACGAAATATGTACTGATTGAACATACATACTACCATAGAGAGATGGAAAAAAAGAGAACGATTCATAGATGAATTTCAGTACACTTGCGTTCGTTGTTAGTTCAAAAAAAAGAAATTCGTTTTCTGTATTCTACTCCCATGAAGGAAGGTATAATGAGAAAAACCGTTAGAAAGATAGAACAACATTTCATTTTTTTTTTTCATCTCTTCTCTTCCGATCCACATATTGTTGTTGTACAATTTATACAAAAGTTATTAACACAGATTTAATCAGTAGCCTGAGAACTATGTGTGACGCTTGAAGCTAATAAATAAATCGATGAAAGAAATATCCTGTCATCGTGAAAACGAAAGTAAATAAGAAAAATAAACAATTTCTATGAATCCTTGTAGTTCTAATTTTCAAGAAAGAGTCCATGGAACATAAAAAACATCTAATATTCTTCTAAAATCTTTCACTTTTTTCTTAGGATAATTACCTTTCAAATATATGTACTTTGTTTTGAACATTGATGAAATATTAGGGTTACATCTAACAAAAACCACATCAATTAGTTTTATTTCCTTCACATACTAGTCAGGTATATACATGATAACGATAGAGTATAAAAAGAGAAACAAAATTCGAACAAACGTTTCACTATTCATGCATATATAAAAATCGAATTATCTTTAATTTCCTCTGACACACGACAAGTATGCATATTTAAGATGTAATAATGATACCATTTGGGACACAATATTCGACGTCATAAAATAGGTTCAATTAAACACTTTTCACACTGAGGTACTGAAGGAGAGAGGCAGAGAAAGAGAAAAAAGGAGTGAAGAAAGAATTGTTTGAGGAACTGGGAAATGGTCTAATTACGAAAAGTTTCGATGGATATCTACTGCGCTATAAGTACTCTATTTGAGAAAAACGCGCCTATTTTATATATCACTCTGCATCTCTGTTTAGAACATAAAAGACCTACTATAGTTGTTCGCATCTAAGAAAGAAACAAACATTTTAAATGTTGTACAGATTCAACAAAAGTACATATTACGTGTATATGCTAAAAAATCAAATTCGCACATTAACGGGAGGAAAACCGGTAATCGATTTATTTCCTATCGCCTACTAACATCAAAGTTAGAACAGAGATAACACTATGTCACATTTTTCAAAAAATGTTATCGATCTCACATTAGCACTAATGTTAAAAACAGTTACAATAAAAAGCGTAAAACAGTTGTAAAAATGTAAAGAGTGTGATCAACATTTCCGAAAAAATAGGATCTGCTATTCATTTCCAGTCAAGGATTTTTAGCGCGATGTTATTGAGAAAAAAGCAAAATCTATGCTAGAAAAAGTTGAATGAAAAATATTCATTAAGCCTCCATGATCTAATTATTTCCGCTCTCATGTTGTACCAGTCAGTTTAGAAATGGGTTTCATTTATTTTCAGCTGGGACTAAAGCTTACCTGTTTTTAAATGTGGAATGCATTTTTCTCAAGGATTTTCGCACCGAAAAGGCTTTAATTCTTGTTTGATGAGCTCTTGAGATTCTTTTCTAAACCACTCTTTCGTAATGTAAATGTGTTGACGTATATTAATTTTTAAATCCAATAAATTCATGCATTTGTTCAACGTGACGTGTATTCTGTTTAAGGTTTGGTTAGAAATATTTCATAGACATTAAAAATGACTACAATAATATAGTCTAGATACATCATATACATGCTTGTGTACGACGAAAATGTTTGACGATTGGTTCGTGTTTTTTCTTTCTTTCTTTTTTTTTTCTTTCGTTTAAGACAGCTGACCATTGCCGAAACAGCAGCTTACAAGACAGAGAAACCTATATGGATGATATATAGTCTATTAAATCGCAATACAGAAACAGAACAACTGATTGTTTCATATTTAATTTTTGCAGAAATAGATCTTTGATAATTTGAACTTTAAAAAGTATAACATAACATTGCGAACAGTGGTGCGCCTAACACCTCTAACTACGAGTGATTCAAATAGCGAAAACCGGTTTTCAGAGAAATGTCATTTTAGTCCAGTTGGACGTGAAGAACATATAGACGATGATTCGACATTACTATTCGTGAACAAGCCAAAGAAACCTTGTATAATGTGGAAAATGTTTGCTTTTCAACGTATCGAGTCGGAGAAGTTTTTCCTCTCGAAAGTTTGCAGGATTACAGCACAGAAAAACTGGTCACAACCGCACTAAATTGGATGATGGAATAAAAGTTAGAGCCTTTTGGTGTACTAAACGTGTGCTTCTTTTGATGAGGTTATAAAAACGTGTACTCTAGCCAAGATATCTCCTGTTTCCACTATAACTATGGGTCACTTGAAGTTTTTTAATTCATATTTTTGGCGTTTTTAAGATCAGTATACTTGTTTGTCCGTTAATGTGCTTTTTTTTATGATTTTATAATTCGTTTATCATACAATTCGAACATTTAGAAAAATTTCTGTTTACATGCGCGATTATCATCACCTTGAAATTTCTTTGATGAACGAGACAGTCACATGTGCTCCAATCTTTTAAAAACAAGGTGTTTAAGCTGACATTTGATTATGAATATAGAGATACAAGAAATTTTCCACAGAAGACCAGGAGGATAAGACGGTATCTACACTGACATTTGTGGAAGACAAATAAAATGATATATCTAATAAAAGATCTATATGCCAATATCTTAAACCCATTATGAAATATCCTTGAGAGAGAAAAAACATATGCCAGTTCGATATCTATTGCATGAAAATTTCGATATTTTTTCTCACGTTCCGGGTATTATTGTTAATCATCTAGCGGCATAATTTCTTCTATACCAATAGACAAGATGGGTGTATAACATGTGCATCAGCTTGTTGTAGATATCAATGATATTTATAAAAAAATTTAAACCGTCTTGTTAGATGAAGATGCGCCCTAATGATTAGATAGTAGTAATGAATAATTTGTTAATATTTTATTAAGAGAAGAAAAAGATGTTTATTGAAAGAACTGTAGGGAAGAAGAAGAATTGTCAACATCTTGAAATTTAATGGTATGAATCACCGGATTACTACTAAATTGTAGAAAGTCTGTTGATGAAATTTCAAAACTTATGCATAGATAAGCGTACGGATGTGGTATATATCAATGTCCCACCTATCAAGTTAAAATCCATTCGGAGATCAGCGATAATCATCTGATTGACAAAAACAGTGGCATATATCTATCGATTGGTTTTGAGTCAAACGCTTGATTCTGATAAAGTAATAGTTTACAGGCGTGTCAAAAACCATTGATAACAGAAAATGTACAATTATGGAATTTGTTACGTTGTTAATTGCGATGATGAAAAGAAATTTGATGCCCATAGCTGATAACAATTAATTATCGATAACGTGCATATTTATTTTTTATGTAAGTTAAAGAAGAACGAAATGGAACTAATATGTATTTAAAACATTCTACACTTATGTAATCTTAAACACAAAAAAAATATGCTAGTTTTCTGGGGCCGTATCACAAAAAAACTTAAGCCTGATTTAAGTCTAGAAGTTTTTTCATGATACGACTTCCTGAGCCATATTTCATTTTGTATCTTAGAAGTTTAAACGAAAGAAAATAATACTGTTTTTGCTAATTATGATTTGAGTACAAAAATACACGTGTCAGTTGTAATCGTTAACATTCATCCTTAACAGATTGCAGTATTGCTATGTTGTAAAAAAAAGTAAATTAGTTGTTAACCATTACTAATATATTATGATTAGAATATTAATTCGTTTATTTTAATAATTATTGAACAAGGTGCTAATGATAAACTTGTTAGTGTTTTTTAATACATAATTCACTTTTTCTAATTTTGCTCATTTGTTATACAGGAAGAAATATAGATACGAGAAAGTGTTTTCTGCGTGTTAAATTCTTTAACAATTTGCCAATTTATGCCAACAGTATCATCATTGTCTCACAGGAAGATCTAAACTAGACAATTATTTGTTTTCTGCCAATTGTTGACTAGTGTTAAATTGGAGCGTCGTGATAAATTATGTCATCGATCATATTCCCAGACGAATGACGAAAATATAATACTGTGTGAGAAAAAATGGGAGTGAGATCAAAGCAAACTGAAATTTAAGTACGATTGTACACTTCTTCATTGTTATGATGTGTCTGCTGAACAAGACAAAAACAACTTTCTTGGATTTTGCACTAGTGTGTGTAGCACAATATTTCTGTTTTTCTTTCGCTGAAATGTGACATCAGCCTAGTAAAATATCTATGAATTTCTTGATAGGATCCCAGACATATTCTACCGGAGTTTCGCTTACGTTTTCTATGATCCTGACAAAATCCTATAAAATCATAATGGAATTAGGGATACCCGAAAGTCATAGGGTTCTGTTAGAATGCGAAAAGGATCTTAACATAAAAATGTGATAATTGAAAAAATGTTGCGATCCTAAACGAGGAAGCTATTACAAAATCCATTAGCGAATGTGTATGAATAAATCCTTTCTACAGCACGAGAAGCTAGTCTAAATATATCCTTGTAGGAAAGGTTATCATTACTCTACGATATCTGTCATATAAACTGCGAATGTAAACACTTTGAGAGAAAACTTTTACAACAAGAATACTAAGTAACTACGAAATATTTCAGCAACAAGTAGAAAAATTAACGCCACAAAATATTGTTAATATCAACGAAAATTTTTAGTCAAAGATTTCAATGATTGTAAGCAATCGTTGACACAATGGTCAATAAAGAGAAACGTGCT